GTCGTTTTCGGCCCGGACTTTGCCTTTGCCTCCACCGTCGCCTTCGGCGCCTAACTTGCCTTCACCCCCGTCTGCCTTCGCTCCGCTCCGCCTGCCCCAATAAACATACTAGGTCTTCATCTTCTTAATTGCTTTGACTAACGCAAAGTAATAAATTTAGCCACTCACGAGATGAATTTGCGTGCGACTTTTAAAAATGCCAGCTATGTGCAAATGAAAAATGAAAAGTGCGGTCCAACAACGGAAAATGCGCAGAACTGACTTTTTCAAAAGACATACGCGAGTCATGTCGTACAACGTCGAGAACAACGTGACACCTACAAGAGCCAATGGGTGGCATTGGTTACCTTCGTGCCCGACATATTGGTTCCTGGTTTTAAAACTGAAAGAAGATTGTTTTCTTATAGAATAAATATGATATTTAGTTTTCTAAATGCTGTTTAAACGGTACTAGAGCAAACATTAGGCGTTCGCGTAGTTTACAGACGAATGAACAAAAACTCTTCCAAGGATTTTATAGAACCATATGAGCTTGCCTACACTCATAAAAGCACTTTTTCTGGATATGTATAAAACCACCGTAGATTAACCATATTTTCTAGCTCGACACTGTTTAGAGTTCGTGTTCCGCAACCCGTTTAATCCGTTATACGAGTATACACGTTGGATTCTCAACAATATGACGGGGAATACAAGTTAAAGTTCTTATTTTTTCTTGGAAGGTCATCCAATAAACCAAATTTCATTCAGCAATACGCCGAAGGGTTTTAAAAATCTTTCTGGAGGGAAGAGTTGAAACCATTCATTGGCCACATTTGAGAGAATTGTATATTCAAGAACAGGCGTTTGCCTCTTTCAAGATACCGGTGCAGTCGCGGAAATAATTAAAATTGCCATAGAAGCACCTTCCCAGGGGAGAAGGCGTTAACAGCGCTCCTATCGCGTTGGCCTGTCTCCAATCGCCACCGGCATGCCTGTACACGAGCGGCAATGCGTCTCATTGGAGAGAATAGCGGCGGCGGCATCAGCAAAGGCAGCAGCGTCTAATCTGTAAGGTTGGCTACGACTAACCCTTACGACAAATTTATTCTAATATCTATATTGAAACTTCATGTGAATCAAAATTTTCGACCGACTCCTGCGTTCTCCACGGTGTGTGTGGGTTAATATGTATTAATCAAAATTTTTTTTATTCGAAATTTCCGTCCGTCTCCAACGTTCTCAACGGTGAGGGGGTTAATATGTATAAATCTAATAATTTTGCATTCGAAATTTTCGTTCAATAGCTGCGTTTTCAACGGTGAGTGGGGGTTAATATGTATTAATATAATTATTTTTTACTCGAAATTTTCGTCCGTCTCCTGTGTTCTCCACGGTGAGTGGGGGGGTTCATATGTGTTAATCTAGTTATTTTTCATTCGAAATTTTCGTCCGAGTCCGGCGTTCTCAACGGTGGGCCGGAGGCAGCTCTCGACGTCGTCGACGTGTGGGTGGGCGGGGCGAGCGTCGGGCGCAGGGCGGGCGCACGCCCTCGGGTACCGCTTGCGGCGCACGCAGCCGCGTCGCCTCGCCCACGCACGCGCGTGACGGCCCCGCGTCAGCTGGGAAAACGCCGCCCACCCCGCCCCCGCCCCGCCCGCCCGCCCCCGCCCCCCCCGCCCCCGCCCCGCACCCGCCCGCCCCCGCCCCGCCCCGCGAAGCCTGAACGCCGCCGGGTGCCGATGACGACGACGCGTCTCGCTCGGCGGCCAATCAGTCCCAGTATGCTTTCTTCTCACTGAACATCCGTATGTTGCGAATTTTGAAAATTTCTGAATTCGTCGGATGATGTTCGCATTATCCGTAAAGGGGGATAAAGTCCGACGTAGCAAGAGCTTTGAAGAATCAGGCGCAAGGTGGATAAAGATAACATGGGTGAATTTATTTCTGGATTAGTCGTTTAAGTTTCACATTATCCAAAATGAGTGGATAAAGTTCGATGTGGAAAGAGGTTCGAAGTATCCAGCGTAACCTGGGTAAAGGGCCCATTTGTGAATTTGGCTATTTGGATAAAGTCCGATGTAGAAAAATGATTCGAAGTAACGTGCGAAAGGCGGATAAAGAGCACATTAGATGACATGACGTTGCTGGAATATGTGAAGTACGTTTCGGTGTCGAGAAATAGCAGTAAAGGAATAAACACGGATCAGATTGCTGGTGCATGTTTCTAGGAATTGTGAGAGTCACGGTGCATAGTGTTGAGTAGACGATACCACCTAACTGAACCCCACGACATACACTGTCACGAACATGAGTAGAAAATGAGTACTTTTTGCCAATGTATATGCAGCATAAAATTTCAAATTACGAGTTTAACATATGATATTTATCCCTGATAGGCAACCTTTTCAATTTACACAAAACAGCCTTGAGTCTGTGCAATGTGTTTATTGCGAAAATAGTCCTTGTAAACACACAAGACCAATATCCCGACAATCATCTTACCTGCCAGCGCCCTGTGGTAGGTACCAATGTTAGCCGTATGAAGACCGAAATGATCTGGTCATCGTTAATCGTACATCTTTAACCTCACTGTCTGGGACATGTTGAATTTAACAGGGCACTCCTAACATTAGTAATTTTTTTGTAATAACAGATACAGGGTCAAACTGGAAATATCACTTGGCAACAAAGTAATACAAGCAAAAAACAAATTACTTCAACCGAAAGTAATAAGCAATAGAAACAGCAATTTTCAACGCAATACAGCACTCACAATAATTACATTCCAAATAGTAATCCGACTTTGCCTATTGTACGTCTGCCCAAGAGGCTGAATGCACCCAATGTCAATGTAAACAAAATTATTCAAAATCAATTACTAAAGACAAACCATATCAGCACCGTAGTTCACACCACATAAACAACTACACAAACAGTTCAAATTCCAACACATAACCCAATCATCAAGTACCTCTGCATCAATTTCATCTTCTTGCCAATACTAAATCTAATCGAATTCAACCTAGTCAGAACTCCCCAACCACAGATACTGTATGTGGCATTCTCCTCTAGAGAATAGCTGAATTCTTCCTAACTCGTGTCCAAAACCCATAAATGACGTGATTGTTATAGGACAAACAAATCTGCCCAGAGAGAGTCCCATTAAGTGCCGTCAGGAGCGCGGTAGTCAAATTGGATGAAATCAGTACCGAAAAATGAAGCACGCGTCATGATCGATCAATGATCGTGTAATCGATCGTTCGATGTAATCGAAAAATGATCGTCAGGCCCCAATGTTAGGTCCCAATCACGAGGAGAAAACGTTCACACCTTCCACGTCTTGTCCCGCACCACCGACTGATGGCCAACACCTCTCTTGGGGTTTTCCGCCATCTATCCAGAGCACGATTTGTTATTCGTCGGCGAAACGCATTTGACTTCGGCGAGCGTGCGGGATGTGAGGAGGCGAATGCATTGCACGCGATGCCAACTCCGCGCTCACCGGCGACGTGTGTGTATGTGTGTGTGTGTGTCTGTGTGTGGGGACGGGGGAAATGACACAGAAGAAGCATAATAGCCAAATTAATACATCCGACCTGAAAAACTGCAGTCCAAATTTCTTCATGGCATTAATCAGCACGGAAAAGAAAATGACTGTTTTTTTCATACAAAACATAAGGTTTCAAATTTTTATGACAACTTATAATTGTTATAATTTCAGTCTGTCTGAAATAAATCACGCAGATAACAATGATAGGTTTTCTTAAAAATTTGAAGCATTATGTTACGTATGAAAAATAAACACACAGACAGCTCTCCAATGACTATATTATAAGAAGATGATTTGTTTGGGGACTGACATGACGCTTACAAATTCAAGCATAGTGCTACAGATTTGTTCCCAATCTCTCTTTCAGGTCCAGTCACCGGAAGTCCATTATCAAGAACATGATTCGCTAGTGTTTGTTGGTGCTAGGAATAAACGGGAAGAATCGCAATAAATCGACAGCACTGGTAGAATTTTCATCGTTCTCATCCCACTTCCTTGTGACAACTGGAAGGTGGCCATGCGGGGGACGATGCAAAAAGAATAAAACGAATGCAGGTTATTCGTATTTAAGAAAATAAAGTTATATTAAGAGCAGTCATTACAATAAATAAAATACGATGATATCGTTTTAGCGCCGTAGAAACTTGACAAATTAAATTTCAAGTATTGGAATTCACCATCATCGCAATTCTTTAATTCTCGTTCACTTTCTCTATAAAACTGTGTATGAGCAAATGAAACGCCGATCAATGAAAATATTCCGCAATTCGAATCTATTTTCCTTTTCTGATTGGAGGTATCGATAATTGAAGCGTTGAGGTGCCACCAAGTTTTCGATGCAGACGAGGGAAATCCGTCATCTCGATCGTTATTTCCCATTGCCTGCACCGTCATTTGGCTTCTCTGACTGCGGGAGATTAGAGAAATTGCGATGCATCGAGGGCGCTGGCAACGCTCCTCGCGGTCACCGTCGCATTTCTCCTCCGACGACAGCGGCGCCTTCGGACGGAGCGCGGAGGGGAGTGAAGGCTGGGAAGGACGGGGTGGGGGAGTAATGGCTCAGACCAAGACAAACGTGTCAGGTTATCAAATCCGTTCACGGCCGCATCGGTCTGCAGCGCATTCAGCTCGCGGCCGCCGCCTCCGCAAGCGCCGTCGCGACGCGTCGCGTCGCGTCGCATCGCGTCGGGTCGCGTCGCAGCGGTACACCGGCTCCCTCAACATCCGGGTCCCCCGAATCCCACGACCGCCATTCAAGCGGCGCCGCTTCGAATGCACGCGGTGGCGGCGGCGGCGGCACGGGAGCAGCCAAGGAGGGAGCGGCCGGGGCGACCTGGCGCTGACCACGTTCGGCGACGCGCCCCGCCCCCCGCCGCCACCCACGCGACGCCCGGCGCTCGCTCTTCCTGCACCACACGTCGTCGTCGGCGGCGGCGGCGGAGGCGGCGGCCGCGGTCACTCCCTGCCCTCACCTCTGCGGGCCGCTCGCGACCGGGGAGACGTGCGGGGTCGGCGACCTTCGGACTCGACACGCCGCGGGCACGGCCAGAGCGCGGTGGCCGACTGGCAGCGGTCACGTTCTTAATTTGTTTGTTTTCTCTCTACGGCTATATCGGAGACGGTGAGCGAATTGATGATTCCATGACAATGATGATATGTGTCATGGTCGCTGCAGTTACCGCTGTGCGTGGAGCGAAATGTGAGTTCGAATGCAGAGTGAAACACGGGTGATTCCAACTTCCGCTTGTGGAGAGCAATGCCAAGCCATCACGAATCACCTTAATCGCCCATACCATGCATAATTAATATGTAGTAAATAAATAAAATAAATAAATAAATGTCTTTATTGATGGCGAGGATCAGGTCATTTAGCCTGCTCTTCCGCCTGACCATAATGTAGTATCTTGATAACGTAGAATAATGATAATAATAATAATCGACATATGAAACAACCAAGAAAAGTTACAAATGAATGTAAGATTGTATATATCTGAATGCAACTCAATGTAAACACGCATATCACTCACAACATTGTTAACATTATTTAGATCAAAGAACGAAGTGACATGGAAAAAATATAAATTTCGGTTTTCAATGTTTCATTTGTCTAGCATATAATTTACATTATTCTGCTCTCTCATTTCTCCTGATCACCGCTAGCATTATAGAAACATTTAAAAGAAACGGCAACAACCACTGGAATCACCAGTATTGAAACGAGATAATAAAGATAAAAGAAATGAGGTGAGACTCGATCTCGAAGCATCCCAATTTGTGTAATAACGTTTACTTCAGAATCTCTGCATTCATTTGAATCCAAGGCATGAAACAGTAATTTTTCCTTTAAATGTCCTACTGCTGGAACCTACCCGACAGAAATGGTATCGGTTTTTAAGATATCACGTATTTGACCAAGTATGAACATTAAATTCGCGTTTCGAATGAAAAAATTGTCAGTATGTTGGGATGTTTTTCAAGTATCTCTAAGAGTTAACGCGTAGTCCATCGGATGTCTCAGAAAAAGAAACTTCAAAATGATGCCCAACAATTGCTTAGGTAAGCAACTAAAACACATTTTGTCACAGACTATGGAATATTTAGCAAAAACAAAGAAATGAATTTAAGAAACGTTGAATTGACTAAACAATTGAATGACGAAATGAATTTAATAATTAAATTTGTTCAAAGAATTGGTGGCCCCGACCGGGCCTTGTGGTTTACGCCCAGCTGTTCTAAGGACTAAGCTACCGAGACAACCATTCCTCAACAGTTTTCACGAGCGTGATTATCGCTCCTTGTATATATATATATATATATATAT